TCTCGGCCGACGAAAAGAAGAAAGGAGAACTTAGGAATGGGGAACAGGAGGGGGTGTGAGTGTACATGGTGAAGTCGACATATGTGTTACATTCAAACTCTAACTTAACGAAATTGATCTTACTAACGCATGAATCTTCGTTTCTTAATGAAAGAACGTCTTTACCCAAAAAGTGTAAACTGAACGATAAAAAAACAGAAAGCATTCCAATATTAAATTTGCCGAAGCGTTCTAGACTTGCTATAATTGTAATATTCCCCTGAACCCTTACTCCTCTCCGGTTTTGTCTTTTCCTGACTCGCCTCCTCTTTGTCTGTCTGTCTGTCTGTCCGTCTGTCTGTCTGTCTGTCTGTCTGTCTGTCTGTCTGTCTGTCTGTCTGTCTGTCCGTCCGTCCGTCTGTTCCCTTCTCCCCCCTCCCCAACGTCTCGCTCTCTCTTTGTCTGGCTTCTCTCTTTCTCTTTATCTCAGCCCTTCTCTTTCCCTCCCTATCTTTCTCCTTCTCTATTCATTTCTCTTTCACTCTCTTCTTCTCTCTCCCTCTTTCTCTCTGTCCTTCTCTCTTCTTCTTTCTCCCTCTTTCTCCGTATCTCTTCCTATCCCTTTCTCTCTCCTTCTCTCTCTCTCCTTCTCTCTCTCCTTCTCTCTCTCTCCCCCCCCCCTCTCTCTCTCTCTTTCTCTCTTTGTCATCATCTGTGAACCTGTTGTCTTGGCATCAGTCCAACAGATAAACTGTTTTTGTTGAAAAGCTACCGTGCAACATGTGCAACACTCAAATCAGGATAAACAACCGCCTCGTCATCAGAATAACGACAGACTCGCTAACGACCCATCCAAACAAGGAACAGAAACAACAAACAACCAAACACCCAACCTGTCAAACGTGTTAACTACAGGCCGACCCACCAACACATTGTTAACTCACCGAGAACGCACAGTCTGGCCAATCAAAGCTCTTGAGACGCACTGATTTGGAGAACTAAAAGAACCATAACTTCGTTATTCATACAGATTTTTCAGTAGCGTATTCGTAATCTGAAACTTGAAATGGCAGGCAACAACATGTATACAATGTACTTTGAAAATATTGTATTTAATTTTGTGTTCGTGGTTTATGTTTATAGGTTCGAAATGTGCCTAACATAGCCTTTGGTCTGCAGCTTAGGTATAGCTTGATTATCTGTCCACGTCCTCTTCAAAGAGTTAAAGGGACAGTTCTGTTTATCAGTCAACAAAACAGTGAATTAGTAATTGGTCCAACAATTCTGTGAAAGCCTACCAACAAATAAACCTATCAATTAACTAATGAGTTAATTCGCCGAACAATCTACGTGTCAAATTAATTATAAACTCAATCACAATACCATCGCACCAGCATAACAAACTGACTCAAACGAAAAACCCCACCAAAAAACAACAACACAACAAACGTAAACAAAAACAAAAACAACGTGGGAACAATTTTCTTCTGCTTCGTTGTGGTCAGTTCACCTTACTGAGCATCCTGTGAAAAAGGCAACTCAATGAACCTAATTGAGTTCATAACTCTTAAAGCCCTGGTAATTAGATAAGAACATGATCGACTCTGTTCTCATGCTGGACGAGAGACCTCTAAGGCTGGTCTGAAAAATAGTGTGAAAACGGAGCACCGTACATTTGCATTTTATTAATAGACATGAAAAGGAAAGTAAAAATAGCTACCACCCACGCAAGGAACGGTCTCTGAGGCGGGCAACGCCAGGAAGACAAGAAAGTTGGCGGGGATTTTCTTTTTTTCTGCTTAATTATTGTCTTTTTCCTATGTTACCTCGACGCCCGGAGAAAGGTACCGTGGACGCTTTCCAGAAGGTTGGCCTTTTGGCTGTGGGCAAATCACATGGGTGTTTTCTCACGTGTGTCTTGTGGGTGGAGGTGGGAGGGGGAGGAGTGAGTGATGGTGGATTCGTTGTCTGGATGTAGATTACACACGAGTATGAATTATGGTTTACGTGCGTGTGTGTGCGTGCGCATGTGTGTATGTGTATGTGTGTGTATGTGGTTGTGTGTGTGTCAGTGTATATGCGTGTATGTGTATGCGTGTGTGTG